GATTCCAGTCTGGGCGACAGAGTGAGACTCCGACTCAAAAAAAAAAAAAAAAAAAAAGAAAGGCCTCAGTTGAAGGCCTAACTCAACAGACACCTGAAAGTCCCCTGCTGGGCCAAGAGCTGGAGCAGGCGATTCTCCAAAGAGATGGACCCACAGGTGAGCCCCTGAGAGGGTGTTCAGCGTCATCAGAGGGGCGCAGCTCGCACACGCCGCTCAAGGAATGGGATGGCACGCGGGTCGGCGAGGGTGTGGGGGACAGGACCCTGTGGGCCGGTGGCAGGTAAAACGGCCCGGCCTCCGTGGGAAACAGCATGGAGGCTCCTCACGACATTCAACACGGAGTCACCGTGTGACTCAGCAACCCGGCTCTGGGTGCAGATCCAAGATAATTGAAAACAGGATCTGGAAGGGACACTCGCACACCCACATCCACGGATCTGGAAGGGATATTTGCACACCCACTCCCTGATTCACCGCAGCCGGGAGGGAGCCACCCCGGCAACGCCAACAGAGGACGGGTGAACCACAGAACAACACGTGGCCAGCCCTGACGAGGAGGACATCCTGGCCATTCCACGATGAGGGTGAGCTCAGAGAATGTCGTGATGGGCCAAGAGAGTCGCCGCAGACGGGCGACACTCTGGGATCCCACTTTCACCAGGAACTCAGCAAGTTCACAGACAGAGGGCAGAGCGCTGGATGTCAGAAGCCCTGGGCCAGCCCTGACACACCTTGGCTTTGGGCTTCCGGCCCCCAGGCCACCAGAGGACACATTCCTGGCTCCAGCCCCACGTGTGGGCCTCTGTCCCACAGCCCCGAGGACACACGCCTGCCCCCGCTCCTGGCCGCCTGCTCCTCCCCTTGGTGGGGATGTGGGTGTGACAGGGTGGCCAAAGCTGCGCTTGGGAGGGGCGGGGCTGAGGTGGCCTGGGGACAGAGCCTGGTGCCAGCGGCCAAAGCTTCCCGCTTTGGTCTCCAGCCCTGGCTGGCTCCAGCTGCAGCCCCCGCCCTGAGGTTCTTGCCTCAGGGCCTGCGTGCTGGCAGTCCCCTCAGCCCCACCCCTGTGCCCTGGGTCTCTGCTCCCCACGGTCCTCTCTCTCACAACTTGCAGGTGCTTTCCCAGCGCTCCCACTGAAATGAGGATGGGTTCTCCTGTTTTGCCCTGTGTACTTGCGGCCTCAGGGTGGGGCATGCAGCAGGTGCTCAATACGCACCCGTCGAGCGCACAATGACGAGCTGCTCCCATGGGCACGCAGGCTGGCCCACTGGCTGGGCCCGGGGAGGCCCAGGGTGCAGGGGAGGCCCACCCACCTTTGAAGAAGACAATCTTGTGGTCACTGGTGCGCTCGTATACGGCGTCCACGCTGTCTAGATGCAGCGGCAGGCCCCGCCAGAAGCGGTGCATCTGTGCGGGCTGCAGGGACACCAGGTGGCGGTCCCGGGTCAGCCGCCAGAAGTACTTGCCTGGGGACAGAGTGGGCTGCAGGTGGTGGGTCTGAGCCTGAGCGGCCGCACCCTCCCCTCAGCCGCAGTGGACCCTGGGGCTACCTTTGAAGAAGAAGGCCTCGCCTCGGATCTGGGCAACCGCGTCGAAGTGGGTGTTGCATCTGTGGGGTACATCCTTCAAGGACCTGTGGGGAGAGTGCTGGTGGGTGTGAGGTCAGGCCCACACCCGGTGCCAAGGGAAGTGAGCCTCGCCATGCCACGGAGCAAGTGTGTTTGGGGGAGCCCTGTGCCTGCCCGCAAGCTCTGCCAGGCAGTCTTGACCTCAGAAGAGGGAGGCAGCCGGGCTCGGTGGCTCAGCCTGTCATCCCGCGCCTGTGGGAGGCTGAGGTGAGTGGATGGCCTGAGCCCGCGGGTTCGAGACCCGCCTGGGCAGCGAGACCTCATCTCTACGATAAATCAAAAAATCAGCCGGGCGTGGTAGTGCACGCCTGTAATTCCGGCTACTCGGAAGGCTGAGGCGGAAGGATCGCTGGAGCCCAGCAGGTCGAGGCTGCGGTGGCCAGGAGCGGCCACTGCTCTCCAGTCTGGGCAACAGTGAGACTCCGACTCAAAAAAAAGAAGAGGGAGGCAGGTGAAGTCAAGAGGCCTGGCCTCCACCTCCCAGGTGGGGAAAGGCCTGACCTCTGTACAATGGTGTGAGGCAGCAGGGAGGGCGCTAGCCACGCGGGGCGGTGTGGACAGAGAGGCCAGTGGACACTGTATACAGAATGCTTCACATGCAGCCCAGGCCTCGATTCCAGTCCTGACTGCATTACGGAGAATATGGTCACAGCAGCGGAATTGCAATGGCAGAGACCCGGGACATCGGAATGTTCCTGAGAGGAACTGAAAAACAGAGTGTGACCAGGCACGGCAGCGCATGCCTGTGTGTCAGCACTTTAGGAGGCCGAGGTGGGAGGCTTACTGGAGGCCAGGAGTTTAAGATCAGCCTTGAGTATGGTCCATTCACCCGGGTGTAGGCACCTGGCTCTCAGCAGGAGTCAGGCATGTCCACAGACAGATGCAGGGGGTCTCTCGGCATTGCACACTAAAGCCACACGCAGAGCCATGCAACACGTGCGCCTTGTAGCTAGACATGTCTGCGCGGTTGCATTTTTCTAGGCATGTGCACGACATCTCGGAGGGGACAGGCACACAAATGTTTGTGCCCAGGGAGAAAAAGAGGTGTTGGGTTGTAGCAAGAAGTGGCCTTTGTGGCAGGTGTGTTCTGAGCTCTGTGCTGTGGGAGCATCACCCACCCGAGTCCAGCCAGTCCTGGTCTTCTAGGTCCCCCCAGTGAATGCCACCGCCACTGTGGAGCAGAGGCCAGTCAGTCCTGCCCTTTCTTCCTGACACAAAGAACCCATGAACTTAAAGAAATGTGCTACAATAAATCAAAAAATCAGCCGGATGTGGTAGCACGCGCCTGTAATTCCGGCTACTCGGAAGGCTGAGACGGAAGGATCGCTGGAGCCCAGCAGGTGGAGGCTGCAGTGGCCGGGAGCAGCCACTGCACTCCAGTCTGGGCGACAGAGTGAGACTCCAACTCCAAAAAAAAAAAAAAAGAAATGTGCTGTTGGATGCCGTTAGGCCGGGCCACTTGTCACATAGCAGTAGCTGACAGGAACAAAGGGCCAGAGGAAGCCATGCTGGAAAGTCAGCTTTGCAGCACGAGTTCCCTGGTCAAGAGGGCACGGCAGGTGTTAGGAGTTTGAGTCAAGAGAATATGTCAGGCTGGGCATGGTGGCTCACGCCTGTAATCCCTGCACTTTGGGAGGCTGAGGAAGGAGGATTGCTTGGGGTCAGGTCTGAGACTAGCCTGGACAACACAGTGAGATTCCATCACTACAAAACATGAAGAAATTAGCCATGGCTGTGTGTCTATAACCCCAGCATTTTGGGAGGCTGGGGTAAAAGGATTGCCTGAGCCCGCAGGTTCGAGACCCGCCTGGGCAACTTGGCGAGACCTCAACTCTACAATAAACAAAAAAATTAGCCGGGAGTGGTAGCGCGTGCCTGTAGTTCCAGCTACTTGGAAGGCTGGAAGGCTGAGAAGGAAGGATCGCCGGAGCCCAGCAGGTCGAGGCTGTGGTGGCCATGAGCACGCACTGCACTCCAGCCTGGGTGACAGAGTGAGTCCCAGTCTCAAAAATTAAAAGAAAGAGAGAGAGAGAGAGAGAGAGAGAGAGAGAAAACTATTTTCTCTTCCTGTGGTCTCAGTAAATTCACACAGCTGTGCTTTCCTCAGGATCCTGAGCCACTTTCTGGGGCAAACACTGCCTGGGATGGGGAGGGGGACACAGTCCACGGTATGCAGTGACCCCGGGCCCCAGGCTTACGGGATGCTCGACCGGTTGTTGGGCGGCTCTGGCAGCAGGGGAGGGTCCTCAGGCTGCGCTGTGGGGGACACGAACTCCCGCACACCTGGGGGGACACAGAGGAGGACAGTGTGGCCCAGGACCCGCCTCCCCCCACATTCCGCCGGCCCCAGGCCACTCAGCAGGGGCTGCCACCACGGGCACAGTCGCAGGATGCTGACACTCCAGCCGTGGAGCTGACATTGAGGTGGGGGCCAGACCGTCACAGCGAGGTCTCAAAGGCCAGCAAAACACCAGTGTCAGGTCCTTCGAGCATCCCCCTCTGGGCAGCCCGGAGGCACTGGAAGCTGGAGGGGGAGTGACAGGACGGGTGTAGGGCCCCTGAGGTGGTCCACTCTGGTGCCCACTTGGGGTGGCCTATGTGCTGGGTGCACGGACGTGCACACCTTACCATGGCAAGCGTTGTGTGATGTGGGTTTCATCTCATGGGCAGCAGAGATCGGATGACAACACACTAAGAGGGCTGGGATGCTCCACAGTATCTGGGGGACGACCTGCGTCTGGCTCTGGGGACACTCACCGTACCGCTGCCAGACGCGCACCCTGTCCTCATAGGGGAGCCCGTAGCGCAGTGGGTCGCCCACTGGGCCCTGGTAGTATGGTCGCATGACGGAGCGTGCAGTGGCCACGTGGCTCAGTCCGATGGCATGGCCGAACTCGTGGACAGCCACGGCAAACAGGTCCATCCCGTGAGCATCTGGGGACACGGGAAGCCGCGTGAGCTGAGGGAGGGGGGCCCTGGCCCTGGGGGAGGGATCGGTGGTCACTGCTGCACTGAGGGGCCCGGGTGGACTCTGCGGGGTCCTCAGTGCTTGCAAGAGCCCCAGGGAGGCCCTGCGGGCTTCTGGGGCCCTGGGTCTCTGTGCCCCTCATGGAGGGGTCGGCGACCTTGTCTGCACAGGCTCCCCGGTGGACACTCAGGCCCTGTTGGCCTTCTGGGCCCAGGTGACACGGGGTCCTGGTGTCAGGCGTCTCCCAGGCCCTGGCGCTGTGGCACTGACCCCTGCTCCCACAGGATGGGCCTGGGTGCCCCTTGTGGAGACCACGGATCCTCTGGGCTCCCCACGGCTTCCAGGGGCCACAATGCAGGGCTGGTTCTGCCTCTGCAGAGCCGGCACGAACTTCTGTGGTCACCAGGACCCAGCAGGTCGGGTGCGGAGCCCGGATGCAGAGGCCACAGCCTTTGTTCCCTCCTGTGACACTGAGACAGTGCCGAGGACAAGGCTCAGCCAGGCCTGACAGGCCACAGCACGGTGAGACCGGCCTAAACTGGGAACACCCAGTGTTCTTGGAGCGCCTGACTCCCTCTCAGGACCGCACCCACTCCCACAGCTTACAGGGCCCTGGTCAGAGCCTGGGCTTGGGGCTGGGATGCCCGTGGGCTGGGCAGGCTCCTTGGCCTCAGGGGCCAGCGAGGCACCCGCCCCACGGCATCCTGGCTCTGTGGGTCCTGGGGCTGCCCAGGCCCAGGCCCTGACCCGGCACTGCCCGCTGTACCCGCGGAGCGGAAGGTCCAAGCCTCGTCATCGTCAAAGTGGGTGTCTCCCGCAGTGTGGTGGTTGCCAGGGAAGAAGGCGTGGGCCACGGTGCCGCCGGGGCCATCGAAGGGGTAGCTGTCGCCGTGGTCGGCCCTGGAGAAGTCGATCTGGATGTCGGCGGTGCTGCCCGCCACCTCGTGGAAGTTCAGCGGCGTGATGTCACTCCAGACCTTGAGCGCGTAGTACATCAGCGCCCGCACCGTGTCGCGGCCCAGGGGCGAGTCCCGCGGGAACGTCCGGACCCTGGGGCGGGGGTCAGAGCCCAGGAGACAGTCACGCAGGACAGAGCAGGTAGCCCAGGCTGAGGTGCCCTCCCTGGACTTACCTCCTGGCATTAAGCCTGGCCCCCTCCTGCAGTAAGCAGGGCCCCCTCCCGGGGGGAGCACGGCCCCTCCCTCCAGGGTTAAGCATGGCTCCCTTCTCCTTCCACCTGCTAAAGCATAAGCCCCTCCTGGGTTAGGCAGGTCACCCTGCCCCTGCTATGCATGGCCCTCTCCTGGGTGAATCACTCATTGCCAGCCTCACGTGCCCCTGTCCACAAGGGCACATCCCGCTATCTTCTGCTTTCCGCCCCTCCCAGGAGGCGTGTCGAGGCCCCATGAAGACCTCAGCAGTTCACCCAGGATGGATGAGGAGTCAGAGGAGGTGAGCGCACAGGTGGGCCGAGACACCTGGCCAGGAGGCTGGTGTCAGCTACTCCACAGGGGGCCTCTCCGATGACCAGCTCACACACCAGTCAGCGCCCATCTCAGCCAGTGCTGATCCCAGGGGCAGCCAGAGGTACCCGCCCAGGAGTGGGGGGCAGAGTGCCAACAAAGTGTCGCCTACCTGGAACCTCAGAACGGGGCTGATTTGGAAACAGTAGAGGTCATTAGGACTCAGACAAGGTCAAACTGGACTAGGGTGGGCCCTCGACCCAGTGAGTGTTCTGAAGAGGCAGAGGAGGGTGGCAGACCCAGGCCACAGTGAGTGAAGACAGAGACAGACCCGTCTCTGATGGGACAGAGGCCCAAACGGATCGTCCCTGGAGACTGCAGGGAGCCCGCCGGCCCACACCCTGGCCTCCGAATGACAGACAACACCCTGCTGCTGTCCTGCGTCCTCCGGGTTGAGGGCATTTGCTACGGCAGCCTCAGGACGCCAGCACGCAGGGGACGCCAGGCCCAGGGCCCACGCCCACTCGGCCCCCTACCCACCTCCATGATAGGTTCCTCTTGTTCCACTTGGTTGGAGCTGCAGCCTGGCGCCGCCTTCGGGCCTGGGCCGCGGCGGGGGGGGCTGGGAGGGAGCAGCGTGGGGTTCTCATCAGAGCCAGGGTGGCCTCGTCTGTGGGGGCAGGGAGTCAGGAGCCGGCCCAGCTCACCTCCTCCCCAACTCCCCACCGAGACTGGAGCCTCTGACTCTGGCCAGTGGCGCTGGGCCCAGCTGTCTCCTCCCTCCCCACATGGGGTCTGCCAGGGAGAGGCTCAGGCCTGAAGGGTCGTGGTCAGGGTGCGGTGGGGGGGACGAGCAAACGTTGGCTGGGCATGGGCGCTCTGCCTGTAATCCCAGCACTTTGGGAGGCTGAGGCGGGAGGATTGCTTGAGCCCAGGAGTTCGAGACCAGCCTGGGCAACATAGGGAGACCTCGCCTCTACAAAAAAGAAAAAAAAAATAATAATAATGACATTCAAATGTAAGGCTGGAGACTGACCGGTCAGAGAAATCAGTGATAGGGCCCTGGTCAATCAGAAGGGACAAAGCTGAGGGAGTGTGACCCGATAGCGGCCACAGTGTCTCCTGGCATCCCACAGAGCACTGACCCAAGATGCCAGTGGCCTCCAGGCCACCGAACTGCTGCATAGCCGCAATGGCCTTGGACAGCTCCTCTTGCGTCTGCAGCTGTCCTGTGGCGGGGTCTGCCGGGGGCAGGTAGCCAAACCTGCTCAGCCACTCCTGGGGGCAGACAGCAGAGTGAGGGGCAGCATTGCGGGACTGGGCCCCCGAAGAGGCACTACCCTGGGCCCAGCGCTGCTGCACTGGCAGCCCTCTCCTAGCCCACTTCTGTGGGGCTCTGGGGACTGGAAGGCCTGATGCCATCCATGGGGCCCTGGGGACAGGGAGGCCCCAATGCCATCCGTGGGGCTCTGAGGACAGGGAGGCCTGATGCCATCGTGGGGGTCCGAGGAACAGGGAGGCCTGATGGCATCCATGTGAACCCTGGGGCTAGGAAAGCCCAATGCCATCCATGGGATCCTTGGGGACAAGGAGGCCCCTATGCCATCCATGGGATCCTTGGGGACAGGGAGGCCTTGATGCCACCCGTGGGAGCCCTGGGGACAGGGAGGCCTGATGTCATCCATGGGGCCCTGGAGACAGGGAGACCCGATGCCATCCCTGGGGTTCTGAGGACAGGAGGCCTGATGCCATCTGTGAGGCCCTGGGGACAGGGAGGCCTGATGCCATCTGTGGGGGCTGCCCCCACCCCCGCTTGTTTCTTTAACTGCCAAATGGCGCTCATGCCCACTCGCAGGCTGTTGTGATGATTCCACAGAAAACACTGCCATGTGGACCATTGCCAGCTGGCCAGACTGGGGTTCTCGGAGTCCCACCCCTGTCCTGCCCTGGCTTCACAGACCGTGGGATGACCCACCGGCCCTATGCACAGACCCGGTTTGATTGGTGGGCATCACGATTCTCCTGGCTCCTTCACGCCACCTGCCAGGCCCCCAGGGCTCAGCGTCTGCTGCCCCCACCCTGCGCCTCTGAGCTGGTGCTGGGGCGGTGCTGGCAGTCCTTCCTGACGCACGGGGCCCCACGGGTACTGAGTAGGGACGGGCTCCCTCCTGGAGATCCCAGGGGCCTCCGTAAGCCACAGGGACTGGGGGGGAGCCTGAGCGATTTGCACACACTGAGACCCCTGTTCCAGGTAACACAGAGACCCTCCTGGCTCCCCACTTTCTTCCTTAACCCCTCCCAGAGCTCACTCATCCAGACCCCAGGCCCAGGAGGAGCCCCCGGGAGTGTGTATGCAGCACTGGGGGCCCCTCCAAGGCTGTGGACAGTACTTGAATCCTCCACATGGACCCTGGTGACTGGAGGGGCGGGTCCCCCCGAGGGGCCCTGGGCGTGATCCCCTGTGCTCACACGGATGTGATGACCTGCTGCACCCCTGGGCATTGGCCTGGGTGACCCCCGTACCCGCCCTCTGCAGTGCTGAGATCTTTCGTGGTCCCGGGGCCCTTCTCTTGGGAGGGCGTTCTGCCCCATTTTAAAATGCACCCACGGGGGTGCCTGAACGAAGCATATTTGTATACCTAACCCTTAATCGTACCCCATAATATCAAAATAAAAAATATTGGTAATAAAAAAATAAAATAAAATAAGCCGGGCTCGGTGGCTCAGTCTGTAATCCCACGCCTTTGGGAGGCTGAGGTGA